GGCACCCAGGACAAGAGCAAAGGCAAGAAAACAATCATCAAAACTAAACACTTCAATATTCTCCCCTTACATATTGGCAAACACAATATAGAAGAAAATGGTTTAAGAAGGTCTTTCTATTGAAGTATATATTAGGAAAAGATATTAATAAACAATTATACTCAGTTAAGATAGTATTCACAAGATACAAATTAGACACATCAATTAAAATCAATAATACATCAGCAAGTAAACACATTATCATTCTATTTATAGATGAAAAAAAAAACTGAAATGGTATCTACTATCAAACTAGACAGTAATACCACTATACAAATACAGGAAATGCTAATCCATAATGATATTATCACAAAAAGTAAGACAATGAAAGTATGGGATATTCTCTTGAATATAACACGTAGAGAACTTAAAGTTGTACTAACCAAATATAGATCTATCAAATCACTATATATAAAAACATAGGACTTGTGACAATTTGCAGATGTGGAATACAAAAAACAGGAGAACTATGATAGAGTAATTCTCAAATAGTCCATAGATTTCAAAGAAGATATGTATAGAATTTTTTTATTTCTCAATACTAATCAGATTAAGGAGAAAAGAAGCAAATTTATCATTAAACTAATCAACTTATTACCTAACACTATAGGATATGATCTTAGACAAATTATCGAGATGACCAAAGCAAAAACTTGCTATATTTCATAATTCAATTCTTATAAAAGAAAATATCTAACAATTATCAACTTTAAAGATAAAGAAAATTGGCAGAAAGTTTTACAGTCCAACTAGGTAATGTTAAACTCAACTGGATCCCTATGAACATAAAAACTTGTTACCTTTGTTTCAACTCAAAACATTAAGTCAAAGATTGTCTAGCCTGAGAAAGACAACAAGTCACCAAATAAAAAAAACAAAATTATATCAAAAAATTTGATAAATTATATAACAGATTCAATCCAGTGATGCTTTATTCTTTCAAACATTACAAAATAATTAGAACAACTAACCAAGAACCTTTGCAGTATTAATAAAGGACTTTTCTTAGCACAACATATCAAAAAAAAATAAAAAGATCACGAAAGCAAGAAAATAGTATAAGTTATAAAAAATAGAGAGAAGATAAAGAAAAACATATCATATTAATTATCATTATAATCAATTATCAACAGATTAACATGTTTTGCAAATACTTAAAACATCGATAATAAAAAATAAAGAAAAAAATGATATAAAAAATCAAGTTATTTTAAAGAATACTGGCTATAATAAAGAGTATATTAATATAAAAGCAAGCGAATGATCATGGATTGAATAAATGAATTTATTTAAATTTAATAAAAGGAAAAATTTTAAATTTAATATTAAAAAATATTTCTGAAAGAAAATATACTAGTTAAAAATTTTTTTATTAAAATAAAGTCAGGTTAATTTAAATATATTTAATTTAATTTAGTTTAATCAAAACAATTATAGTTGAACATGCTTTGAAACAGATTCAAAATATATCAAATTGAATTTAGATTGTTTTTACATTAAATTCGAATCAGATCAAATTGAATTGAATCAAACCGTTATAGTTTTAAATATGATCAGATTAGTTTAAAATAAATTGGATTCATATTTTATTTGTATTTATAAAAACTAAATTAAATTGAATCTAGTTAAAATTTAATCTGATACGATCTGGTGTGATTACTACCTATAAATTAAAAAAATTTTATTATTATATTTAATTATATATAGTTAAATCAATAAATATAAATCATAAAATAATAAAAACTCTTTCTGCTGATCCTTTAATCACACATAAAAAAGATATTTACAAAAAGTTTTATACTTTTTTATTAATAAAGTCTTTACACCTTCATTAAAATAACTTGAAGCTTATTTTCATATATCTTTCTACCTTCTCTTATTTGTTTATAAACTCTTTGAATAAAAACTTGAGCCTCTAGTGGCCTGAAAAGACTCAAATATGTACTTCCTCTACTAAGGACAAGAAGATTTTAAGAAGTAAAAGAACTGACAAGTGAAATGTCTTCTTACAAAGCTAGAAGTAATAAGAAATAAAGATTTTGTTAGTGAGGGAAGGCTTATTATCCACCTTCTCATATACTATCTTGTACCTTCTTATAGTATATATTGTTTTTCATATTTTTCTTGAAGGATTTTGCCTACTTCAGTTAGATGCTAAATTTCTGATAGCACAATGTCATCTGATATCTGATTGATTGATATAAAACATGTTAGTAATTGAATATAAACAAGCTCCTATTGGTTACCTCATATATTCAAATAATATCATTAGTGATAGAAAGAGTTAATTGGTACTTCGTGTTCACTTCACTTCTTCAATTGAGTTAACCTACAGATTAAGTTCCATAAGATCAATAAGATATAAGCAACAAGTCCCCAGGTAATAAAAAAACTACTATTTATTTAAGCTGAGGTCTTTTTTTCCTATTATTTCAGTCAGGCAAAGTTCAAAATCAAGGTTTTCTTTTTATTCCAATTAGATAATAAGATCAAACGGTCTCTAGTTCATACTAAGCTCTAATCCTTTGATTATAGTTAAGAATATATTTTCTCAGAAGTTGTTAAAGAATATTGCAATTGATGAGGATTTTTACCACTCTTGAGATCCTTTTACCATTACAAGACAAAAGAATTATTGGAAAATTTGGCCTTTTTGGTAATAGAAGATATATATCAGTAAAATTTTTTTAATTAGACGTGACTGCTGAAAGGTATTACACTGAAACAATATAATCTAATTTTTACTAAGTCACATAAGAATCTGGAGTTCATTATAAGTCATCTCTCTATTACAGATGAATAAAAAACTACTATTTAAAAAAGGTTGAGACCAAGTGTATTCTGAAAGTAAAGGTTCCCACTAGGTAATAAATCTTCTCAGATGATATACAAAAAGGAAATAAAGATCAAGAATGATAAGTTTCTTAGATGGTCAGGAAAAGAAAAGAAATTTCAATTAGGTATTTTTTATTGAGAAGATGTCTTAAGAAATAGATCTTTGAAGGAAGCTAGAAATATTTTTTTCATTTTTACTTTTTCATTTTCTTGTTGTTTATTTAAACATTTTTAGATATCTCCTTCTTCTTTTTCAATCCATTTTTTTATAGTTTCCTATAATCTAGTGGCTTGATATGATATATGGCAGTAATAATCTGTTAGCAATAATACAGTAGACTATAAGGGTTTTCATCCAAAGATATTGTGAAGTGAAATATTATTCCCAAGACTTAATTTAGAGACTTTTATGCTTACAATGGGTTAGTTAAATTAGAATAATAGTTTAGTTGTAGTATATATTATGTTTCCCAAATAAAAATATACTTATGTTTTTAATTGATTAATAAATTGACAATCTAGCCTGATTACAAGTACTTAAAAAAAAATTAGTAAATATAAATCATTATTGATATTAATATTTTTGTTTTTTGAAGGTATAAACTTAAAATATTATAATTTGATTTATAAAGTATTAATCATTAACTATTGATCTATGGATGTATGCTATATTTAATTTAAATAATTTTTATTTATTAAATATTAATAAAAATATCAAAAGTATAATTATATACAAATAAATAAAAGTAAAGATAAAAAAAAAATATAAATAAAAATATTTATATAATTTATTATTAAAAATTTTTTTAAATATAAAAATATAAAACAATAAATTTTAAAAAAAAAACAAAAAATAGAGATATTTACTGTATACTATATATAAAAAAAATTAAAATTAAAATGATTATAAAATAATAAAAAATTGTTGAATTTTATATTATTTGATTAAAAAGAAATTTTTTGGATTTATTTATAAAAATATATAAAATAAAAAAATTATAAATTGGATACTTTAATCAAAATATAGTAATAAAAGTTTAGAAAGAAAAGTCATTCATTTATTAATAAAACTTTTTAAAAAAATCAAAAGATAAAAAATATATGAAATTCTAAATATAAAAAAATATAAATTTGAAAAGAATTTTAAGTGTTATGTATCTAAATAAAAAAATAATTTAATAATAATAAATTGTTAATTATGATATTTTTAATTAAAAAAAAATTTACTTAAATTATAAACAGAACAAGATATTATTCTAATGTTATATTTAGAATTTGTTAAAATTAATGAATATAATAAATAAAATAACAATTTAATGAAATTTAAAATATATAAATAGTTAACAAAGTTTAATAAAATAATCTATTCAATTGAATAATATATAAAAAATAATATTATATTTAATTTATTATATGAAGAGATACTTGATTAAATAATAAAGAATTGATAGTAACTTGTAGGCAATAATATTGATAATTAAAAAATATTTATCATAGAATATCTAAAATTGTATTTAAATAAAAATGGATTACTGTAATTAAAGAATTGGCTTGATCGATATAAAGAATGTATGTCAATATCAAAAATATTTAATAAAACATGCGTAAATAACCTGACAGGAGGTAAAAAAAAATTTTTGATTAATTATTATTAAAGTACAGTGATTATAGTATGTATTGAATCACGTGCAGTTATGTTCGAAGAATAGTTGCCGGTTACATGTCGATACGCTAATGCGTTAAATCACGTGTTTATGATCGTTTTAATTTTGGCAAATATCCTTTCGCCAGCCATTGTCGGATTTCATGCGTCGTCGGAGTACATTTTTGAACGTTCTGAACATGAAATTTCATGAATCATGAGAAAGGCGACGCTTAACATTCTCATGCTCGTGAGAGTCTGATTAATTGTTGGGTCTATATGAAGCATCAGATATCCAGCATATGATAAATTGCACCCTTGAGGGAGTTCTTTCTCGAGCAAATATATATATATATATATATATATATATTGTTCAAAGAAAAATATTCAATATATTTCACTTTTCGGCGTATCAAAATTTAACATGATATTTAAAATTGCTGTGCTCGTTGTAGTCTTGATTCTGGTTTATAGGGATTTCAATATGCGAGAAAATAATTTTAACGAAAATGGTTTCACCAACGATGAAGATAATTTTAGTGACAGCGACAATAGTTCTGATTATGATTCCAGTGACAACGGTGACGGCAGCGATTCTAATGTCGACTATTTTGATGAGGAAGGTAAGAAAACGAATGATATCAATTCTTCTGCTACAAGCATTCTGAAATTCTCTTTTAGAATTCTGAAATTCTCTTTAGTTGTAGAACACGGCGTATGTAATAATTCTACCGTAACATACAATGATACCAACATTTATTATTATTATTATGAATGTTTTTTTAATGACCACGAAGATCAAAGTGGTAGGCAATTTTGAGAAATTTGCAATGATTATCACAAATATGTTTGTTTGACAAAATCCCTAATTTTAGGAGATTTTTTTTAAGAATTGTAGACGGGATGCAGACCAGAGAGAACGTCTTACATTATTATGTTTTCAGAGAACGCTTGTGATTTTACACACGCAAGCATAAAATTTTTCTAGATGAACGCAAGTTTTTAGGGTACACACACTTCTCGTTTCCCTAATCTCTCGTTTGATCAATACATCACATGATACGCGTAACCCCGCGATAGGAATCCTCCCCGAGATATCATTGCAGAAGTTGCCTATATGAGTTTTTGCGTACTGTGCGTAACCCACCTCGACATTCATCGTGAGAACTTCATCGCATTATAACACCGCATATTGTACACCTTTGATTTTTAATTCTCTCTCAAAAGCCTCCAAAATCCTAAATTATAATTTCACTATAAACTGCTTCTCACTGTCCAACCCTATGGTTATGTTGTTTAGCGAATAAAAGTTTCCACCCGTCCGCATACAATATTTCAAAGAGGTGGATTGCGTGAGAATGCAGTTGACGCTGGATAAATTTTCCCCTATGTAGTTCATGAAACTATTGACGACGATTCCTATTACACAAAAGTATAATAGTGCCATTAAAATGGATATCATGATGTAAAAGAAAAGATAGAATGAGAGGTGACTTCTTATTGAAATCATGTTTGTTTTAATAAAATTTTGATTTTTTTTTTTTTTTTTTTTTTTTTTTTTTTTTTTTTCGGATAAAGCTGATGAAATTTGGTTCAATTTATATCGAAATATAGTTGTTGGATTTACGCGCGCGCAAATGGGATTTTTATTATCCATGACGCTTTTTTTTTTTAATGCTGCATGGCACATGTTACTTCATCTACAACCTAACTTCCTATTCGTAATACAGCAAAGCAAGTGGGCCAAAGTTAGAGTAACAAACTTCAATATTGATATTTTTAGTAACAGCAGATACAGTGATCTAATTTGGTATAATTAAAAAACCTGAAATCTTTCTAAGAAACATAAGTTAATACAACAAAAAAAAATAAAGCTTGAACCAATAATACGGTAAAACTTATCAACAATATAGGCATTTTTCAATATATTGTATTTCTTAAATAATATGCTGTCAACATCATATTATAGCTTTTCATCTCCAACACCATTCGTGACTAGACCTTATTTTAGATGACGCATTATTGTTTATTACTTAAAGAGTATTTACCAATGATCATATCTTTACACGATCTAGTTTGGATCTTATTACTTGTTCACAATATGATTTTCTTACTAATTTCCAAAGAATTGACCGTTCAAAAAACACCTATGATTGGTCTCCTACCACTATTTTTTTTCTTTTGTAGATAATCGGAACTATTCGCTGATTTGATTACTTGACATAATTTCGATACATATTTTGCTAATTATTAAAAAAATAAAGTATACGTATAGTAAAAGTATGCACTCTTTAGAATTTACACAATGTAACATTCGTTTTTGGTGGGATTACTTTTCGTGAACAGGTCGAGTTCAAGTAATATCATTGAATATTTAGGAAAACCAGTTGGTGCGTAGAAAGAAGCGGCTGCGATTATTAATAATAATATAATAATTAATCATCCTTACAGGGGTGATATCAAATTTTTCTTGGCAGGGCACGATACCTCGAAGTAATTAAACTACAGTCATGATGTACAGCGCATATCAAATCCGATTCGATAATGTAAATTATGAAATTTATTGAATACATTACTTTGCATGTCACAGAACAAATGAAGGATCAATAATCATGTGCATCTTCACTTTTCTTGATTTTAAGAATAATAAAAATGAGGACGTATCTAATTTTTCTCTGCATCCGCCTCGCCTTTACACGTAATAACCAAAAAATTGTCATTCCTTAAGTTCTCATTATAATCAAAATCCACACAGTTTTTCTAATTCATACCTCATTCTTTCATACTCCACCCTGATCACGCGATAAGTCAAAAATATGGATTATTTTCGCCTACTCCCATCAAAAGAGTTGATCGTATTCATCCTACTATTATATTCAACCACGCTACTTTTTTCGATTTTCATATCGATAGTAACATACGATCATATGGACTTCCTCCTAAACTTTTGGTTATTTCCGGGAAAGAATCTGTCTCATCAACATCGAGGCGAATTACCCTTGAACACTATCCGATCGAATTCATGAAATCTATCCCGCGTAGGAATTCATTAGTTGCTCAGTAATATATCACATTTTTGGCGTTGCTCTACTTTCACGTTTTTATGATTACGGTAATTTGGTTGGTCGAGACACGAAGCTGTGCAAAAAGTATTGGCAAACCTCTTTTAGTTTGCCATAATAGTAATTCTCTAATATAATTCTAGTAGGAATGTTATTTGGTCTCTAATTTGTTAATGCAACTTTATTCCATAATAGCTACTCATTTTAATAATTATTAATAAATCTAGTCAAACGGTTGTATCGTGTAACTAGTTCGGATAGAACCAATGACCACTATTTTAACGATATACGATGTACTGTTTCAACTTTATTATTTGTATTACACTATTTAGTAATTTTTTATTTGTTTATTATTCTTTTAGCCAACGCATAATTATTATCGAAAAATAATGTCCAAAAGCTTTGTTCATGAGAAAAAAATCGTTGCTTCACGCGTAATATTCCGAAAAAAAAAAAAAAAAAAAAAAAAAAAAAAACGGAAAATAAAAAAAATAAAATATTTTTTTAAATTTTAA